ACAAATCCGATTGGCTTATCTTCATCTCAACCAGGAGGGATTTACAAGGGCATATAAAACTTATAATCAAAGATTCTGGGTAAAAGTATCACGAGTTTGAAATATAAGTCGGCCATGTCAACGAGATGCAGGTGTATTGATCAACAGATACTAAAAGCCAATGTTGAAAGAAGCTGCTTAACACATCAGTCCTAATTAGGTTTGTTGGAAGCTGAAACTTGTAGAACCCTGGATAATCGTTGGAGAAAATCTCAGAAATCCCTTCAAAGACGAATTGAATAATAGTGAACGTGTACGAAGAAAACGGCCAAAGACAATAAAGTTACGCAAAAGCTAATCACAAAGACGGATTTACTGGTCGTGACGATCGAGTGACCCGCCTGTCAGGACTCCCAGTCAGGACTTCACCGGACAAAAGCGGTACTTCCCGCTTCGAAAGCTTTTTGACTGCCCCAATTATGCGCACTGAATTCCAATTTGCTGAACAGGGTAGGAGCAAGTCGTATTTGTGATTTTCAAATCACATCTCTAGCTTTCATATGGAACGAATTGAGACAAATGAACATCAGTCTTATACTGCTGGATTTCTTGCATCATCATCAGCGCTAAACATTAGATTTTAGTACCATTTCATTATATCATGTCTTTAATTTAAATTTTCTGAAACGAAGGACTCGGTTAAGTTAGTTGACATTTTGTATCTGATAGAGGACAAATTTCCACTCGACCAAGAAACCCGAAAAGCTGCCTGGTCGTACTTCATCGGATGCTCCCACAGGGTTGCGTTTCTGAAATTTCTTTGGATGGCAGGGGCATTTTTTCGTATAGCCCTTTCACTATTCTTGAAAAGAATTGTGCTTGGTCTCGTTCGAAAAATTAGATTTGTTTCTGTATTGTGAGAATCCCAGCTAAACGAATCGCCGTCCTCTCACTAAGCCGCTAATGCTTCATTTGATTTAGTGCAAAACAGTCAATCGCAGATAAAAATCAAACCTTGCTGGCCGGTCATTAAGGTTATATAGGCACCACAAGTCCTCAGCCTTACCCACAGGGATCTGTCAAACACTGAGGGCTTTCCTTTAAGCGCCCTCAAATATCAATCATAAAATGTTTACAGGAGAATTGCCATTCCTTAAATCCAACACAATCGCGCAGTCAATGCCAACATACGTTTTACTTAAACAAGTGTCAGAGCTACCAACAGTCACATCTCTGCGTTAAATGGGGTGCTTTCTAAGCTTAGGTGTTCAATCGTCACAATTTAGTTACCAGAACGCACTCGCATTTATGCATCTGCAAACTCACGAATCAAAAAAATAACCGGTCGCTACGAGGTCACTGCTTCTGCAAGTGAGCAATGCACCATCGAATGGAGTGACGATTCCCGGCCACTCGAAACATCGTTTGATATTGCTTGCTGCTGAAAGTTTTTCGGCAGCAAAAGGCTGATTAGTGTCCAGACCTGAGACTTGTTTCAGTTTCACTTGGAAATTAAGATAACAAGTAGGCGAAAATATTGAAACCCGAACGAGAAGTGAAAATAACTGGGTGGTTTCACTTAGTAGCTAAGCCTCTTGCTTTTTTCCACTAGAGCAGAGTATCACGCTCCCGCATTCATTCACTGGCGCATGTATAGAAGTCATCTAAACAGTGCTGTATATTCCAATGTCGTACGCTTAACTGAGGCGCGCAAGAGCCTACGCTTTGATGTCCTCTACATTTGGGCTAGAGATAGCATCACTTGGAATTTCGCGACAGGAAAAACAACTGATCTTAAGTGGAAAATTCTGGCGGGCCTATTCGACATGTTGGATTTGCAAGACTGCCACTTGATGTTTCGGGGCAGCCAAGTCAATTCAATTTTCCTACTTAGTCATTGGTTTCATTGAAGTCGCTCGTTCCTAAGTTCATTTTTGGGAGAAGTGAGAAATGCCGCGATAAATACGGAATATATTCACACTGAGACAGAAGATACTGAGCTTCGCGTAGTCTAACTAAATCAGTATGCTGGATAACTCTCCGACGGATCACCATATGGAAATCCTGAGAGTTGATTTCGTGGGATCTTGACAGATTCCTGATGAACCAGGAACCTCCCACGTATTGCTGTTTCTACCAGCTACTATTTCTTTCCACTGTCCTATCAGGTTACATTCAGTTTTTGAAATGTAAGAATCGGGAACACAAAATCCATTCTTTCAAGTAATATGAAGAGGATGAAGAAGGATATAACTGAGAAGATTTTGAAATGGTGCAGACTGGAAAACCTACTTGAAACACGAGGTCCTTCTCACTCTGCCTGTCTGTGTGCAAGCCACTTCAACACAGCAGCAGAGTGCGCATTGACTATTTCTGTTTTCATGACGAACTTTTATGATCCATTTGCCAAGCCAAAACAATTGTCACCAGCTAAATGACGCACCCGAGTCATGAATACTACGTTACATTGCCAATTATTACTTTCACATTTGACAATGTGGGCGAATGTGTTTCGTCACATAAATTTCGTCTTGTTGCTCTTTGCCACAGGATGAAAAATTTCTTCCAGGTAACACGTGTGGAGGGCGCAACTAGGTGGAAAAATGCAGTGAGTTATAAGGTTCTCCCTTAGAACTTGTCCACTAGACCGTGATTTTTTTCAGCTTACTTTGGCTGGAAGGACGGGACCGTAGACTATAAAATCATGACCATGTATTGATTCACATATTTTTAGGAGCGAGAAAGTCCACCACATACAGACTGTTTGCGCACACTTGTTGTCACATGGTGCGGACATCAAAAGATGTGATAAGTTGGCTTGTTCATTCTAGTTCCGGACTTCAACATGGTATTGCCAAAACTAATCCCCATGCGCTACATCTTTCAAGAAAAATGCACACAGGTCACCAATACATTAATACCTAAGTATTGTTTTATAGGACGTTCAAATGTGATTTTATCCACTTGTTCCATATCTCGTTTTACCAAATCATTTTGTGGTTCTACTGGTAAGTTCGGCTCGCTGTTATGCCAAACATGGATCGACAAAATACAGTTTATTGTGTACTACAACTAATTGCTTGGAAACCGGTTTGCAAACCAGTCGCAAAGCGTCAAATGTCAGGGCTGAATTGTTTGGTGGGAAAATAAATTTTCTAACATGAGGGGTAACGTGAAAATATATTATATTGTGCAGGCTTTATCCTTTTGAAATCCGATTACCAAACTTGATTGCACCGCGCAGTCATTCCCAATTTTATACGGATGAAAGCGCATGTGGACGTTAGGAATTCAAAGTCTCAATGTTTGTTGCAGTTTAACTGATTGGTCAAGGAAAAAGATCCTCTTGGGGGGCACAAGCGGTAGACGCGTACTTCTGAGAGAACTAATTTGTAGTCTGACCTTCAAGCCAGATTAGTTTATTGGTATTCAATCACGAGACAGTTATTAGGTTCACATTAAGTCCCTGAAGCTGACACGGTGAAATAAAAGTTTATGTGGTCGAATTGGCTGCATCTCTTCAGGTGTGTGCTAAAGGAACTGTGTTCTGTGCGGTGTAAAAGACTTTTATCTCGCTTTGAGAAATCATCATTTAATAGGAAATTGACTGAGATTACTGAGCATGCAATTTGAAGTTCCACACAGAACCATCCCTAGATGTTTTTTATTTGTTCACCGATTGGGCAGCTCATTTTCTGGTAGTTAATCAACAACTTAAAGGGAACCGTCTGGATATTTTAAGATACGTGTTTTAATAATACCTGGTTACTAGGTTGTAGACATAAACGTATAACTTTATCATTTTCGTCTTCTTCGTAAACTTTTGTTTTGAATGTGACTCCAGACGACAATTATTTTCTGACCCAACTTTTCTTAAGGGAGAAAATCTTGCGGAAGCTATCTCGTCTGAGGCACCGTGTAATTCAGCTACATTAGGTGCAAGACCGTATTAATGACTTGCACAATGTGGGCTATGTAAAAGATGGGGAGGTATAAGGCTACTTTGTCAAATTTATGAAATGAAAGATGAACAAAGTCAAATGAAAACCACTTTACTGTGATTGAGTCTTTTCAGCAATCTGTTTGACTCTGCAAATGGCCTCCTTTTCGCTAAGGAAACCGGTAGGGGTCTTTCTGAATAAACCGAATGGTTCAGTGGAGAGCAGTAACCCACACTATGGTAATTGGATTTGCGGTGGAACACAATGAAGTCTGTTCCATAGATCTTATTTGGCATGGGGATTGCTACTGAATAAATGACTTTCAAATGTCAGCTTGTATATCGCAGCTTACAGCGTGGAAGTGGTGTTAATGCCGTTTTCAATTATTAATTTCAGAATGTGTCACCTATCAAACTGGTTGGGAAGAAAGACCATGTGTACCATTAAACGTCATGTGTTGTTTTGTTCAGGATACATCACAGGCCACTTTCCACGTGATAACGGTGCTTGATGCTTGCATTCTCTTGGAACTGTTGTAAGAATTTCGTAGCTGAAAAAGGTTATCATCTAATTTGTTTTATTAATATGTGAAAAACGTTCATTTTCCACATTTAAATGTTGAAAATGCTTTTTTCCTAACCGCATTTTAAACAACCACATACAACCATTAGTATACAATCAGTGGTCTGTTCTACGAGCGTATCGTTTTCCCATTCGTCTCTCTGAGACAACGCTGGCACCAAAACCGGTACATAAAACAACCCAACGAAAGTTTTTATCCAGTTTTTAATTTTGGAACAGTAGAAAGTGACAGACGAATTAGCAATGGCAAATATCCATTGAAATCTGGATATAAGACGAGAAAGCAAAATCTTCACCCAAGCTACTCGCTGATAAGCGGGGAAAGCAATGAATTAGTGATAGAGTCCAAATTGTGTTCCCGTTGATGGTACAAAGCACATCTGGCTTACATTGGACAGACTGCAAGTGTGCGTTCCAGGCTTCTGTCTGGTTTTCACCTAGCAGATGTAACAGTAAGGAACAGAACCAAGTAGCAGGTTTCAAACCATCATCTTACAATCCGACAAACCCCGTCTCTTGACTGAAAATCAGTTTCCCTTTTTTGATCACATGTGTGATGAGGCTTTCAGCTTCGCCGAATTGATATATTATATTCTCCCACCTAAAACAGAAACCACATGGGGTACAAAGAATTCCACCTGAAACCGATACAATTTTCAGTGACAATATTCTGAGACATTTAAGGATGAATTCATTTAGTGGAACGAGATAAAAACATGATACACAAACGACTTTTGGTGTCCGAAGCCGTGTGCAAAATGTGTCCGTCAGACAAGCTAAATGAAAAAATATTAATCACACATCGAAGGTTTTGATTAGTTTCTGGTTTCTGTAACACTCTAAGCAATTATAAATAATGAGTTGGAGTTAAAAACCGGAGGCCTAACACTACAAATTATTCATCCAATTTTTACCAATAAAGTTGCTATTGAGATTTTATTACTACTAATTTCTCAATATATTCTTTAACAGGTAGGTTGATTAGTCAAGAGTATTTTGATCGCCTACTGTGCCCCAATCGAGGTATCACTCATTTAGGAATACATTTGGACTTGTGGTAGCTGTGAGTAAAAAATCTAAGCTCCCTGATATGCTGCTTTGGCGTTCTGACCCTCGTCAATATCTGCACGCTTATTTGGCAATTCGTATTGCACCATCTGGACTAAAACATATAACTTAAATGCAATAGCCCTTTTAAAGAGAGGTCGTCACCTAAACTGGAGCCTCTGTCCCCGCTGAGTTAACCGTTTTCAAATTTTAAGCTTTTTTCTAACCTCGCTACATTGAGTCACAAAATTGCACAATTTTTTAAATCATATCTACGTAGCACAATCTTCAGTCACGTGTCCTGGAACTTGCTCCCATGTAAGCCTATTACATGCAATATTAGAGAAAACCCTAACCGGGATCCGGCATTAGTCAGGAGCTCATTCACTGTATTCAGTCTCTATTAAAATGAGTGACCATACTGAATGTCTGGCGTATACAAATTACCTTTCACAGTCTAATCATCTGCAGTGCAGTTTTGGCAGATGGGCAAAGACAGAAAGAGGGTGAATCAGTAAGTCCATTTGAATGAAAACTTATAGGTTGATAGCAAACCAAAGTTTTCGTATGCAGCCACAAAAGCAGTCTGGATATGGATTAAATTAAACTGCCCAACGGTGTTTTGGAAGATTAAAAACCAGCGATGCGCAAGCTTGCTCAAATTAGTTATTCAATGAACAAATTATCCCGAAAAACGTAGATCGGAATCTACAGTGACGAGGCACATGGAAATCCTAATTTGGAACTTTTTTGTCATTTATCCAACGCAACGCCATGACTTTGGAAGAATCCATCTTGGAAATGTTAGGCTGATCATGGAGGAAGTAGAAGCATACCAAAGCTTTGTGGCTGTTATGTTAAGAGAACTAACCCAAATTTATGATCTCTACTAGAATAACCAACTCACAAAAACCGCCCTGTGAATCTCTAATTTTATTTTAAAAAAACAGAAGTTTGCACGTGTCCAATGGTGTTACAGAAAACTTTAATCAAATAGTAACACTTGCTTTTAGTAAAACGTGATCTCGGGTCAAATAGTTCTCAGTGAATTCTCAAGATTGTCTGACTGGCTGCATTATGCATCGATCATTTTCATCTAAAACCACTGAGACATGATAGGAATTTTTGCTTTTCACTCGACACCCTTCGGATAAAACCATGTGACCCTGGATAAACTTTAACACGTGCTTACAGAAATGATGATATCTGCGCCAGCAAATATCAAAAAGTGAATTCTCCTACATAGCTCAGCAGCCAGAAGAATTGTAATTGTACAGACGTACTGTAGTTGTACCGACGTTTTAGTCAGTGCACGCCAGGAATAAACGTTCGAATAAAACCTGTAATAGCCCCCAAGCACGCCTATGTATGTAAGACATAAAGACAAATTGCAATCTTCCTGAACGACAAGGCTTGAGTCAGCTGAAATAATACTGCGGCCCAAACCTAGTATATTCATACTGTGATGAATGAAATAACCCAGAAGACTACTGAAGTTCGCTACATCAAAAGGAGCGATTTCAAAATTTCCCATTAAATAAAGAAGAGGATAGAAAACTATGTTAATTTTACAGTAAGCGTGACATTCAATGACGATGAACCTATCAAGGATTAATTTATATTCGAGCTTGACTTGGACTCCATTGAGTCTCAGCCTACTTTTTGTGGTTTTCGTAAGAAGAAAACTGCCCCGTAGTCCATTTATCCATAATGGTCGGATGAAAAGTTATGATGTGTTAACATCTCAGATCACATTCGTCAATTGCACACACGAAGCATATTTGTACGAGTTCAATACGGCAAACCACAAACTGTTTCTTAGAAAGGAGTCCTTTGCCCATGTTCACTTGATTCACGGAAAGCCATTAATAACATATTTTGTTTCTATAAGGGTAAGATTGAAGGATCCACACTCTACGTTAGGTGGTCTGTTCGTGTACCACTTTCCACACAACGATTGCCAGTACAATCTGGCGTTGATTAGGTGTGCTTCATGGCTGTAGCAACTGATTCGGTCTACGTTCCAAAATAGTTCCAGAAAATCTTCGACAAGTTTTATATTTTTTGGTTGCACATTGTCCATAATTTTGTGACGCTTTATGTCCGAAAGCAATGCAAGCAATCTGAAATGTTGTTATCTTACAGCTTGTCCTCTGGCTTTTCTGATGAGTTTTTTATAATGTGCTCAAATATATCCATTGTGCACCTTATATTAACAAACATATTGGGGTAGTGTGAACATCCAAAACTCAATTGACCAAAACACATACACAACAGGTGAGTTTTATTAACTTTGTTGTATAATCACAACAATCGTTATCCTATTTCTAGGAATGGACGAGCGAGTAAGTGAACAGCTCGCATAAGTGCGGATCCTCGAGGATCGATTAACAATTACTCGCTGAATACTCCACGCCACAACATTGGCTGCAAACATCGAATACCACCACGAAATACGTCGCCTAAATATAAGTTCTACTAAGAATTATATGCTCCAATGCATTATAAACGCAAAACAGTTTTCATGTCCGTTTCCGTAAGATATCAGTAGATTTTAATTCGGAGCCACATAAATGAATGCACCATAAACGCAAATGAGGTTGTAGTTGAATGCCACCGAATTTTGGAGATCTCGAGATAGTACACACAAGGATCTATAGACTGATATAGTCAGTACCACAAACCGTGCTCTTCAGCCAAGTATCAGTAGCAAATTTAGCTGGAACAAACCTCTCAAAGGAATAGGCAGTTTCAGAGATTCTTCAGAGTTACTGTTGCCACGGATTCGGTGTGCATCAGGTTCTAACCTCCACGGTAAATGCATATAAATTAGGGATTCTGTTGCACCTAGTAGTTAGTAACGGCAGTAACCGTCTATAGAAGAACCAAGAAAAGTTCTGTAAGTCAGCATTCGATTGTAATGGTTTATTCACTTTGAAAATTTAAGTGGCAGTGTGGTAAACTGCTTTTTTTCAAAACTTGAATAAATTCTTTTTTTCCGTAATCTCTTGGACCATTTTTTTAATTTTTGCACAATAGTGGCCATACTGGTAAGTTGGGTGTTATGTTTTAACTCTCTTCCAGCTGTTTTTCAATCCAGAAAAAATTTATGAAATGGTAGAATGCTGCAAAGTAAGGACTCGGGAAACGGTCAGTGGAGCAAAGGGAGTTTATAGCATTGTTTTCCACCAAGACAACTTCAAGGGCGTGGGGGAATAAAATTCTGCCAAAAATAGTCGCAAAAGTGATCGTTTTGCACAATTTTGCTGTCACTGATAAATGACACTAAACAGATATAATGTATTTCTCTTTTAAGCGGCATCCATTACTTCCAATTATTTTGGCCCTGACCAACAATACTGGAAGTGCACTTAAACTTATCATCTCATGCACCATTGAAACCCGTTTTGCCTCTGCTTGATTAGTTCTATATCAGGTAATTTATTGCGACCAAAATAATAATTTCCCTCATTAGATTGCGAACACGTCAGCTACATCCAAAGTCATTGGTGGTACTTAAAATCTAACGGGCAAAATGTTCTCTGAATTTCCAGTTCTCACTCGTTAGGAACTCTTGTTAAGTCGTTCTGAGGTCACGGCTAGATGATGAGACGCGGTGGTCTAAATTTGATAAAGAAGTTAACCACGTTTGGAATGTATGCAAGTCTACCGTAGATATACAATTTGGTGCGACTACAACGGTCCTGTTACCTTTTCCGCCACTCCGCATTCCTACTTATGCACATTACGGAATATTTAGCAAAAATTAACTTTCTTCGTACACACTTAAGGTCAGTAATTTCCTGTTGCATGCTGAGCATAAGATAAATTTAACTGTTTTCCTCCCATAATTTGCAGATGTGTTTGTTGTTCGAATTATTGGCGAGCAATAATCCATCATTCATCTGAACTGTCAAAGAGTCTGCTCACAATTTTCACCTAAAGGTTTACCAAGCCACCAACCCTCCGTGAATTATCCGTTCAGACTTTTGCGTGACGAGCAGCCTAAATTGTTAGTTATCAGCTAAGATGACAACAACATTTGCTTTTACGGTATTTTAAACGGCATTTAGGGATAATTGTAGTCTTCTCAAGATTGCTTAACAATAAAAGGGTTTGTTATCTTGGCTAGTATGCATTTAACTCAGTTCATGCAAAAAAAACATTCGTTCAAGGTCTAGTTTTCCCAAAAATAAACAAGCCCCGTAAAATTTTATTTAGAGTCGTCCTGCTCTTAAAGCCCCATATTCGACCGTAAAACACGCTCGTACATTCGACTTCGCATAAACAACATTTAGGCACTTAGAGTCTTTTGTTGGTGAGGTTGCGTCCGCAGCGTCCAGAAATAACCTAAAAAAACTTACGCAAGCCGATAGCTTGCAAGTCTTAATCTGTTTGAGCATCAGAGAAGCACCGTTGGATACCTAATTCCATTGTCTAAAATCAGAGATCAACGTAGACGGTATACTGGTAGCACTTAAACATAGATTTTGAAAATCAACATATTTTCAGTTACCCTGTATTGCTGGACGTAAAGCGCATTTGGTTTCAATCAGTCTCAGTCAACTGGAGACGTTCCAGTTGCCTGATTGGCAGAGTGTTTCGAAAGCCTAGAGTCCAAACCTAAAGTTTGATGACAATTTGAATATGTTTAGGATTAAGGTGCTATCAATACAAAGCCAAAAGCCAAGATGGAGGCAAAAGTCGTGCCGTAATCAGTTCACACTAC